GAGAGAGAGAGAGAGAGTGTGTGGGAGAGGGAGAGGGAATGAGAGCTGAACTTTGCCTTTGCATTCATTAAAGAAAACTATAAAGGACTACAATAGCCACAAGGGGACCCAAAAAGAAAAAGACCCCTAACAGGGGGCGGAAACACCACTATCATCCTCAAGGAAGGACAAAAATTCCTGAGGAATACATGTACTAACACTATCATCTAAATTCCAAACAAAACTGTCCTCAATTGCTCTTTGAGCACAAAAATGAGCCGCCGAGTTAAACTCCCTTCTCACATGAACAAAAAGGACATTCTGGAGAGATCCAAACCAATCTAGACCACCCCCTGCATCAGGCCGAAGCTTCCAGAGTTCCTGCTCCTTGAACTTTTCCATATATTGAATAACACTGGCGTTGTCCCCTTCAATGATAAGACCATTCACCTCTAGCATCCACCCCACAAGCAGCTTTTCAATGTATTGAATGGCCATTAACTCCACTTGGGTGCTATCCCAATGTGTGATACACCAGCCCGCAGCCACCACAAGTTGGCCCTGATCATCCCTAATGACAATACCGATACCACCCCTGTTGGAACGACGCAAGGCCCCATCGACGTTAATTTTTAGCCAACCAGAAGGGGGGGGGGGCACACCATGATGATGAAGAGACCAATCTGGAGGATTGAAGGGTGAACCGTTGCTCCAGGCATGTAGAAAAATAAACGCGGGATAGAGACTCGAGAATATTGGCAGCCATGGCTGTAGGGGTGCACCTGACCTTGCCGTGTCGAATTGCATTTCTATTATTCCAGCACCTAAAAACCGCACCACAGTATGCACGGCCCCAGAAGTCGGTGGCGACACACCGGCTCTTCAAAGCTTCCTGGAGTTCACCGAAGGAGAAGAATTGGGGAGTGGAGAAACCCCAGCCATCCAGGCATCGACGGACATCCGCAAGCTGTCGGCAATTTGCTGAAACATGATCCAGATCCTGGGGAAGCCCACAACCGACCGGGCATAGCAGGTCCGTTCCCAACCCCCGTCGATGCAGCCAAGTGCAGGTTGGTAGCAGATTCTTATATGCCCTCCACCAGAAAATCCGCTCGCGTGGGCGAAGGCCAATTTTGAGGACCGGATACACCGGATCCTCCTCCTCTTGGAACAAGGACATGTAACAGATCGCAGAGATAGAAGTGCCGAGAGGGCACTTAATCAATTCAAGAGAATCGGCAGGGGATTCCGACCAAATTTTTATGTCACAGATGACGTCCACAAGGGAGGCCCCAAAGACCTGCATCAGCTTGGTTCTATCCCACCTTCCATCGGCCGTGAAAAGCTCCCTCACCACATATCCGTCCACGACATTAATATTGCAGAAAGTAGGCCATCGAGCAATGGCCAAGTCGTATATCCATACATGGTTGATCACATCAATTTCAGCACCATTGCCAACCCACCATCGGATACAATTAGCCAGGCTATTCGCCCCGCAACAGATTACCCTCCAAGCAGCAGAATCCTCATGTCTTTGGCCCCAGGACCAAGGCCAATCACCATACTTATGTCTTAAGCATCTATTGAGCAGGCTTAGCGGCTTGTTAAAAAAATTCCATGCAATTCGAGCTCGTAATGGGCCGGTCCACCGTCCGCTAGCATGGAACCCGAACCCCCCAAGACGCCAAGGTTTGGTTAACGCCTCCCAACTGGCATAATGTAAGCTCCGTTTATTGTGATCTTTGTTCCACAGAAAACCACGACAGATCTTCTCCACCTCATCAAGAACACCTCTCGGCACCAGCATATGCGAGACAGCATAGACCGAGAGGGGGAGCAAAACAGAGTTTACCATAGTAACTCTGCCAGCCAGGGAAAGATGTCTCACTCCCCAAGCAAGATTCAGAGCAGTAGACTTCTGCAATAGCGGGCTGAAATCTGCCTTCTTCAGTCTTCTAAGCGTGAGCTTGATTCCCAAATAATCCATCTCCTTGACCTTGCGGCAGCTGGCAAGTCTAGCCAGCCGGTGTTTGGTCGACGACGAGGTGATCTTGCTAAACATAATTGCCGACTTGTTCCTATTGACCCGCTGCCCAGTCCACGCACAATAGTCCTCCATAATCGACATAATTTTCTTCACATTAGGAATGGAAGCACCTGCAAAACATAAAACATCGTCAGCATAAAGGAGGTGGGAGACCATGGGTCCGCCCGCCTTGAGTTGAACACCCATCTCCGGAAAACGTTGGTGGAATTGAAGAGATAAGAGCTCCGAGCAAACAATGAAAAGATAGGGGGAGAGCGGACATCCCTGGCGGAACCCACACTCCGCCGTAATAGCCCCCGTAAGCTGCCCATTGACCATAATTGAGAACCGAGGGGAGCGAATGCAACTCAGGACCCAAGAGCGGAATTTAAGGGGGAACCCCATACGAGACAGCACCAGCTCAAGAGTTCTCCAGCTCATTTTGTCATAGGCTTGTTCCATATCCACTTTCACGGCCATCCACCCAGGATTAGATCTCGAGACCTTGAATTTGTTCAGCACCTCCTGCCCAAGAAAGCAGTGGTCGGAGATTGACCGGCCCGGGACAAAAGCCGCTTGCTCCTCGGAGATAAGGTTGGGCAGTAAGCTTTGCATCCGATTCACAAGCACCTTCGCCACAATTTTATAGATGGTCTGGCACAGACTGATAGGTCTGTACATAGACAGCCGATCCGGGTTGCTATTTTTGGGAATCAGCACCACCATTGTCTCCTTCCAGTCAGGATCCATACACCCTGTCGCGAAGAATTCCAAGCAAGCCACCGTGACCTGCTTGCCGACAATACTCCAAAAAGACTTAAAGAAAGAGGTCGTCACTCCATCTCTTCCTGGAGCCCGATTTGGACCAAGAGACCGAACCCCATTCCATATCTCCTCCTCCGTAACTTCCCTATCAAACAAATTAGCCGCTGATGCTAAATTAGCGTGCTGGGCTTCAAAAGTAGGCCAATCGGTCTCACAAATTGGTGTCCCGCACCACTTATGTCAAAGAACCCCTTCACCACCTGCAGGACATCCGCATGCTCAGTAACCATCTGTCCGTCAGGCATCCGCATCCGATCGATAAGATTAGTGCGTCGTCTAGCAGAGGCCATCGAGTGGAAAAACAGAGTATTGTCATCCCCTTCTTCGATCCATTTGACCTTTGCGCGCTGTCTCCACCACGTTGAAAGTCGACCGAGAGTCGAATTAAGCAATTGGACCTTGTACCGTAGTGATTCAGCCTGCACCTCAGTAAGCCCAGTCGGCGAACTCTCGATGCTTTGTAAAATACAAATCTCCCTATCCAGTTCTTCTTTGAGATTGTTTAACATTTTGAACTTGTTTTTGCTCCAAAAGAACAGGGCCTTCAAAGAACGTTGGCATTTCCTTTGCAACTTGGATGCTTCCGAACCCGTATCAAGCACCAGCCACTTCTCAGAGACCAACTGCCACGCTCTGGGGAAGCTCGCCCAGACATCCTCGAATTTAATCTAGTAGGAGCGAGCCCTCTGTCTCCCCAAGCTAACGATGCAAAGAATTGGACAATGATCGGAGGCGATCCTCGTAAGATGGCTCACCCTTAACTCCTGAAAGGCATCCAGGATAGAGGAGCTAATCAAAAACCTATCCAGCTGAGAGGAGATACGACTCCTAGCGTCTTATTATTAGTCCACGTGAAGGCGGGACCGAAGAACCCCGGATCAATCAGTCTATTGGCAGCCATGAAATCACTCATTCCCTTAGCAGCAGCCGTGAATGAGAAAGGCCGCCCACCCTTCTTATCTGCTTGAGCAAGAATATAGTTAAAGTCCCCTCCAACAATCAAGGGCGAGTCAGACGCATGGTGCTGAGAGATTTCGTTAAAAGCTATCGCCCGGACTTGGGTGTCTTTATCCGCATACACCACAGCCACCTCCCAGTCGAAAGTAGCCGAGCTTTTAAATCTGGCCATAATGCACTATTTTGATTTGAAAATAACATGGAACGACCCCACCGAACACTTCCATAACACAAGGATACCGCTCGCCTTACCCACTGAAGGTTGGTAATAGTAGTCCCAATCCCTCCCAATAATCCTATCAATATCAGTTCTGGAAAAAACTTCCATCTTGGTCTACACCAACCCAACAACACTAACATCATGGGCCCCAATAAGGTGTCGTAAGTAATTGCCCACCTCCTTCTTACGAGCACCTCGGTAGTTCCAACAGATGGTGTTAAACATTATCAACCAAAGGGGAAGCGTCCCCGCCGCATTGTTGTTCCAAATTCTCCTCGGTCACCGTGGACCCAGATAAATTGTCCGTAATGCCGTCATTATTTTGCAACACAACCGGAGCCTCCAAATCAACCGGTGACAGCTCCACAGAGGGGTCCCCAATTAACTGAGTTCCGCAGTCTTTGATTCCCGGTGTTTCCCCTTCCGCCTTGGTCAACTTCATCCGTGCTCTCCTGACAATAGTATTGTAAGGTTTCCAAGCCTTGGCCTTAGAGTCTGAGAATCTCAAAACTCTAGGAACTACCGGCCCATCTAGGGAGTCTTTGGAGTAGCTTCGCCTCACGTGCACCTTCTGTATACCATCCTCCACATTGGCTTGAGCATCACAAAGGGGGAGCTCATATTCTTTCTTTTCCGGAACAAAGCCTTGGCCGTCCTCCAAGTTGTTCCCTTCCATCATTTGTTCCACGGGCAAAACCTTCTCTTCATCAGACGATTTTTCCATTGGTTTCGGGAATACCCTGCACTCTTCCAGAGGGGCCCTGAAAGGCCTAGTCTCCCCATTCGAAGTCTCCATTATTTCAACCTCCGTTCCATCCACCGATGTATTACCCTTAACCACAGAAATCCTGGAAGCCCCGGTAGTTATTTTCTTAAGGTTCATTTCCCCTGCATCAGTCCCCAAGGATGGGGCGTCCACCATATCCAGCTCCTTGGCCGCCACTCTCCAAACCGAGTTGGTTCCCGAATTTCTAGCCGGATTTGCCTTAGAGCTATTGTTTGGTTTCTCTTCGGCCTTGATCGATCGAGGTCTCCTTCTTCTCGTCACAATGGTCCATTCCCCTCAATCATCCCCACTAGTCGTGGTTCCATTCCTTGATGAGCTGGTTCCATTCCTTGATGAGCTAGCACCATGATCAGGGCCATCCTCCTCCTCCCGGCCTAGAAAACTGGCCTTCCCAGATCCCGTATTCACTGGATCAGACCTGTATGGTAGCGGATCATGTGCATTAGCCTCTGGCTTTTGCACCTTACACACCTCTGCCTTATGACCGACCTTCCCACAAGCAAGGTAGATCGCCGGAATACCTTCATACTCAATGGGTTGGAAAAATTTGCCATTCAAGCCTTGAGCCCAGACTCCTTTCGGCAAGCTTTTCGACAAATCCAATAGGACACAAACACGTGCAAAAGCACATTTATTCCATTGTTTTGTCTGCTCATCCATAAACAGGGGTTCCCCCACACCAGATGCCAACCTTGCCAAATTTGCTTCATCCCAATATTCAAGAGGTAGATCCGGTAATCTGAGCCAAACCGGCGATGCGAACTTCCTTGCAGTCTTAGGTGAAAGCCCCACAGTCCATTTCTCCACCCCAATGATCTGCCCAGCCACATACCATGGCCCTCCGATCAAAACGCTATCCCTAGCCTCCACGTCCTCAAACCAACAAAGGAAGCAATCGGATCCCATAGGAGTAATCTGCGTTAAGCCGAAGTGCCCCCACTTCCGTTGTAATTCATTCTGGACTACCCAGAATGGCACCCGTCTGCCTAGCAAACTGCCAACCAAAGCACGCCAGAGTTTGTGGACATTGCCCCTGGCTCTCGATAAATCAAGCTGAACCAATCCGTCATCCAATAGAAAGTTTTGCCCGCATCCTTCTAGGCTGAGGGCAACTGGCGTCGGTTTCTTCCAAGCATTCATATTGCGTCTGCCAGCAATCTCATCCTTCTGCGTATTTCCCGACCAAGCACCACCTTGTTTCGGAACCAGCTGAGCAGAAGGAACATTTCCACAAACATCTTGTGTGCAATTCCTGTGAACCCCTGGCACCGCCTACATTCGCAGCCGGTGTCCCCCCAGAGACAGAATCCGTAGAAACGGGGCCCTTGCTAGCTACCATTACCATTCAGTTCGCTATCTTCCCCTTACGACCTGCAACCGATAACGAGCTTCCAGAGCCGTCCATTTTCCCTCCTCTAGCTTTCACCGGGGATCGAGTGTAGACCTGCTGCCTTCTCTCGGATCCCACAACCTCCGCACCACTCGAGCCCACAGCCGAGTGTCTCCGCTCCTTACTAGCACCCCCGCCAGATCCCGAACCACCAATCCCTCCAACGTTCCCCTCGATCGTCTTACCCCCATCTTGCCTACCAGCTCGAACATCAGATCCACCCTTACTCCCCCCTAAATCCCTAACACTACCGCTTCTCGACGAGTAACGTGGGGGGCGGTCACCCCCCACCATCCCCAACGAGCGACAAAAGAAAGCGGCAGCAAACCTTGCCCTAGAGCACGAGGAGGAGAGAGAGAGAGAGAGAGAGAGAGAGAGAGAGATGGAGAGAGAGAGAGAGAGAGAGAGATGGAGGGAGAGGAAGAGAGAGAGAGAAAGCAAGAGTGAGTGAGAGAGAGAGAGGGATAGCTAGAGAGAGATAACAAGAGAAAGAGAGAGAGAGAGAGAGAGAGAGGAAAGATAAAGAGAGGGATAGAGAGATGGAAGGAGAGCAATAGAGAGAGGGAGAGAGATGGAGGGAGAGCAATAGAGAGAAGAGCAAGAGAGAGAGTGATAGAGAGAGCAAGAGAAAGAGAGAGAGAGAGAGAGAGAGAGAGAGAGCAAGAGAGAGAGAGATCGTGAGAGCTGAACTTTAAGAGAGATAGTGAGTGAGAGAGAGAGAGAGCAAGAGCAAGAGAAAGAGGCAGAGAGAGAGAGAGCAAGAGAGAGGGA